CGTGGTGACGTGAGTGATATGGCGCAGCAACAGGACGCTATTCAATATTTGAATATTGCCGCCACATTCAACAGCTCATGAAAAGTGCTGCTAGCTAACGACAAATATTTGTACTACGTGTGCCTAGGCGGTGCTGTACTGCTAAAGTCAATAACCAAACTACAGAAATTAGTAAGATATTCAATTTACTAATGAAATTTCCATAAGGTTTTACGCCAACGAGGACAGTAATTCTTCATTTTTATTCAAATTTGTTGACGACTGACTTTTATAAAATGAAAAATATGAAAACTATGTGAAGCCCCATGAGCTGAAACAGATTTATCTCAGTAGTATTAAAGCATAGTTGCCTCTTCGGTAGCAAATTTTCAGGTTGTTTACGCCACTTCGGCACTACGCCCGTTTATCGCCTGCGCTTTCCTCTCCTCCCGAATTCTCCATTAGTTCAAAGTTTTTGGTGGTTGTGTCGGTTCGGTTTCGGTAACATGGTAATAATCTGTGGCCGAGAAGATTCCGTAGCGTTGTGAGTGTTCACCGAGAATTGTGGTGTTTCTCGTGATTTGTGATTGTGCTTACAGTGTTACTTGTGGATATTTGGATAACCATTTTTCAAGGTATGTACGAAGTCCTTATACGTAAATCGGAACATTCCGTTTTCCGCGCATTGTTTATGTCGACAAGTGGTTAGGCGTGACTTCACGATCATTCCGATCATAACGAACCTTCAGAATGAGAAAACTTTGCGCCAGCATAGCAATATTAGCGCCATTACATATGGAGCTTTTGGGATTTATAATACTTTCCACTGGAATTCAGTCTCCTTGAACCTTGATGTGTATTGCTCAATCACCTGCTTGGTTAGGCTCGGAGCTTGAGGTTGAGATTTCTACTCAGACCTGAAGTAAAATTTGAAATACGCGCAACTCAATTTGGCTTCTTGCGTTAAATGCTCCATTCAATCTACTAAAAGTTGCTTAATCCAGTTATCTCCGTGCAGGACGCACCACTACTATTGGGTCCTCTTTTCTGAGGGGCACATTCATATTCATCATTCTCGCCTGTCTGTACTGATCCTACCTCCACTGAGCGTCACGGAATCAGTCGTTACTGATGCTCCAAATAAAGTATTTAACTCTGTCTTAGTAATGCTCCTTTTCCCAAGTCCAATAGTCTACTAATGCTTGCCCCACTTTGTGTTGAGAACTCTGCTTCATTCATGACTTGCCCTCCTTACTGTAAACGCTGTTAAGTTCATGAACCAATCGTCCATTCCCGTTGGGCTTGCTCCTAACCTACAGCTTTCACGATTTGTTCTTTAATTAGGAAATTCTAATTTTTATCCCTAGTTAAGAATGTGGTTCAGTCGGGTGAAGGTACGTTTGCTATGTCTAGGAAGGTAGTGTTCGACGTATTAATGATTTAGTGGTAGAATTACATTTATGTTTCATTTGATGCATGGCTATAGGTGATGTAAGCACAAGTATTGGCCCATATGTGCCATCGTTTGGACTTGCTGGGTCATATCGCAGTTGTCGAAGGCTGCAAGTTTGTCTGATAAAGTGACTGCAGACTTGGGCTCAATGAAAATTAAGATAATTAGATGAGATGAGGGAACTCAAACTAGGCCATTTGAAATAGTTTGACGTATATAAGTGGATTACAAATGAATCAGTGAGAATGAAAACACACCAACTGGAAAAAATGAAAATAATCAAGATACATACAAAACTGAACAGAAGTTAATCTGAGAAAAAGATTTTTGGTGCCTCAAGGCAAGTACTGAAGGACACTTTATANTCAGGAAGGTTTTCCGCGTTAAATGAGCCCAATATCAAGTGTATATGTTTCCGGTCAAAATCCGAGCAATTTTTGGGCTTTTTAGGGGCCTAAAACTTTCTTAATGCAACCGGTTTGACCTGCCAGACCGCCCATTCCTTTTTACACACCAAAATCCGCTTCGAATGAGGTGGGTGGCAAATTTATATTATTCCGGTTGAACGAATCGTCATGAGCTCTCGGTCTATTATATGTCCAAGTTGGAACAGATGCAGTAACTTCAATGCCCTTTATGAATATTGACTGTCTCTAATGAAAAGTGAACATTTTCGAGTTATCGAGTTGGTGTGTTTTCGTTCTCACTGATTCAAATAGCTCCAGTTCTTTCAGCCTGCTGTAATCCATCCACTCTGGATGAATGAATATCACTGACTGATGATCCTCTAGCAGGACTTACATCAGGCATCTTCAAGTTTCCTCTCCTGTTTCATTTTCTCAACAGACAAAGATTAAATATTCTGACATGATGTTGTGAGAATATATTATTTACAATGTAGGAGAAATTAACAGAAAGTTTCAAACATGGTGTGTTGTTTGTTTTTCTGTTAGATTTATAAAATATGTGAGAAAATTAGGCAACACAAATTTTGCTTGAGCTGATTTTGGTTTAATCCATTTATTTACCAGGACATCTATGCTGAAAAGAAATAAGTAGGTATGTGTTAAGGGTTTGCATGCAACTTAGTTCTTTTCAGAATAAACATGTCCATCAGTGCAACGTTGTAATCTCTCCCAAATTGAAAATATTCAGCCTGGTCAATCTGGGATGATACTGTGTAAAGCACCGATTTTAAAAAAATTGTAACTTTACTCAATTTGATCCTCAAAACTATTTGAGAAACTGACATGGTTCATAAAGCTTTAAAAAAAAAATTTAGTAGGAGGTAATCTTATCTTCTAATTTAAGGAACCATTGAATTCTTTTTTATAATTACCTATATCAATACAGTTCTAAGCGAGTAAGCATTGAGCTGCATGCGCTACTATAGTTTTTGAAGAAGGAAATGTCAGATTAAGAGTTCCACTTCATTTTTATGATTTTTCTGAAGAGAACAGGGGATATCTTTATGTCACTTTTGTGTGTAATTTTCTTGGATAAATTTAAAAGTATTTCTAAATTTAAAAAAACAAACAAACAAACAAAACATGTAATTCCGGTGGCATTATCCAGAATCAGCTTATCTACATACCACATGAGATGTTCCCTCAATTCCTTACCTGTTATATTCTTTTAAGAGAATAGTGAGCAGCATTTCACATTGGGAGCTCAAGCTCGCGTCTTCGCGCCTTCAATTTTTCAGACGCAGCACGGACGTTGTATCTCTGCGCCGTCGTAAACACGCATCTTTTCCCTGGCTTTATTTCCATATTGTGTTTGTTTGCGATTGTCCTATTCGTAATGGTGCCTCAAGCACTACGTTAGTAACATAGCCGAAGGTAGGAGGGGTGTGTTCGGGCCTCTTTTTTAACTTTTCTCCCGAATCTGAGCGACACCTCATTGACAACATATAGCAGAGCATTGAGAGCTCACGCTTCGCGTTAACGCGCCTTCAATTTTTCAGATACAGCACGGACGTCCATCAAGTACGAATAGTTGTATCTCTGCGCCGTCGTCAATGCTCATCCTTTCCCTTTCCTTTTTCCCCTCGCTCTATATCCATATTGTGTTTTTTTGCGTTTGTCTTATTCGTAATGGTGCTTTAAACTAGAGCAGAGCATTGCGAGTTCACGACTCACGCTATCGCGTCTTACATTTTTCATATGCAATGTGGACATCCATCTTGCGCGAATAGTTGCACCTATCGCGTTTACACTTCGGATGCCTCTTAATTTTGGATTCCGAGATGAATTAAGGTCAAGTTTGCCCGAGATATGCCATGGTTTGTCCAAATCAACAGTCATAGTAATATGTTTAAAGGTCTCTCAAGAGGGGTATAAAGGGTGCGTGTGTCTAAAAATCGAACCGACAATCGCTTCTAAGGGAGTTACAGGTTACACGTAGCGAATGAAGGAGCGGAATGATAAAGCGCCTGCATGTCAACAAAAAGGTGAACATTTCACAGAAAAGTGTTAACGCTTCAGAAAGTAGTTCTTGGACCTCTGTTCACCACTATCATGCATAAACACAACCTTTCTTTACTCATTTAAGAAATTTTCCGCATTTACTCTCGGTCGTAATTTTTTTTCTCTTCTTATTTTGCTATCTGTCAGATGGGCGCGCTTTCGGTGCGCCGAGGCCGCCGAGGGGGCGTATCTGCCAATGGCAGATTGGCCTTATGGCCAGTCCGAGCCTGTCAGGTCTCGGTTTTATTGCTCAGGAGGGATGTTGAAGACACTTTTATTCCGTTGGGGGTTGAGTTTTTTGAGATTTCGAGAGAGAGGTCCCCGCGAGTTTTTTCCCCGAAGGTTCGATCGAATGCTCGAGAATTCGACGAGAAACCCGTGTGTTCAAAATCCTCAACTTTTGCCGGAGGGACTTTTCTGAAAATTCTGATTTTCCAAAGTTTCCACCCCTTCACCACAGCCCTACAAAATTACCTACCTTCCACTTTCCACACATTTTTCCACATCTCTTACTTCACCCGTATCATCGTAAATCTCGCTGGTTTACCAGGCTGTTTATTTTTAGGTGGGTTGCGCCCAGTTCAATCACACGGTATGCCGAGGGGTGTTCTTCCCCATTTCAACTGTCTCATTGACGTATCTCAGCCGCGCCGGGGTTATTTTGGGGTAGAAAAATATTTCGAGCCCCTTCGGAGTCAGGCGGTCCCGGAGGGCTCCTTTGCGATCCCTATCGCCTGAATTTCTGCTTTGAAGCTCCTCACGGGAAATTGCTTTTCGCGTGGTCCAGGACCTGGATATAAACGAATTCATCAAAAATATCTATCTTTTCACGCTACGTGACAGTCTCCCCCCCCCCTTTTCGTGGTACCCCGAGTCAGCAAAGGTTCTCTTTGGTCGGGATAAACTTACTAGCCTAATCAAATGAATCCCTTATTAAAGTAAGGAGGGGTAGTGATGAGAGCCGCTTTTGGGCTGGCCCATGCTGAATTTCCTCAACTCTACGATTTTCACTCATTGCTGATCAATTTTTTACGGAATGCGTCATGATTCGGTCTTTTTTCGAGGCTGACACTGGCCGAAACGTGGGTATGGATGTATTGGTGGTTGATCTCACAATCAGTGAAAACTACCTGGTCGAACGTCGAAAAGTCCGCATTTTTCGCCAAAACTGGTCCTCAGATCCACGTTTAAGTCGGTATTAGATCCGAAAAGAGACAAATAATTATTTCATCATTATGTATTCCGCTAAATGTATACTTTCAATGAGCAAAACATTGTAGGGGTGAGGAAATTCACGGTGGGCCTAAAAATGGTCCTTATCGATACTCCTCCTTCGCTCCTGATAATCAGGGAATTATCAAGGAATGAGCAATTCGAAGAAGTTGTGATCGGCAGTAGGCAGACGAATATCGAAGGGTGAAACTACCGCGCTACGTATCTCGGTTTGCGACGTTGCAGACTTCCTGTCACACTTTATTTTTTAAGTGGGAAACTACCGTAAGTCAATTCATCAATTTTACCAAAAACTTCATGTTTTTTTCCTTTCTGTGCGAAGAAAACTTCGTGGAAACTTCAAGGGATGATAAGTATTGATTTGTTCTCCTTAAAAGAAAAAACAAAAACAAAATGAGAGCGGAGAGTTTCAAACACCGCAAACGAAACACGTGGTCTGGTAGAGTAGTATTTTGTTCGGAGGCAACACCCGCAACATGTT